AAACCCCAAAAAAAAAAAAAAAAAAAAAAAAAAAAAAAGTAGCGTATACATGCAAGATACTACAAATGTCTTCAAGGAACTGGAAGAACTCTCCAGCACTCATCTCTCCACCTCAAGAGATAGCGGTTTACAGCCCTCCCCAAGCCCAGGTAAAATCCCACCTGCTCTGGGTGTCTTCTGCAGACATCTGCTCTGTCCCCAGGAAAGAGCAGCTCCCAGCCTGTGCTTCTGGAGCACGTCACGTCCCTTTCCTCACCACAGGCTATGTGGGGCTCCTGCACAGCCCCTCAACCAGAAGCCCAGGGCAAAATGTGCTCTTCGCTGCTGTCTGGCCCCTAGCTTGGGCTCTAACAGTGGGGATCAGACAGATTGAGTAACGTGTTTTCCAAAAACAGACCTTTGTCTATAGCTATTAAATGTGATATGTTACATGTGCTCATTCCTCCAGCAAACACTGATTTAATTTCCTTCATAAACTTAAGGACAAAGAATAATCTTAGGGCTAAGTGGATCTTCACATTTCCCTTCTCCAAAGCTTCACAAATCTTTGCCCAGCAACAGCAGCAAGTGTTGTTTTTTCCAATTTCTCCAACTCAAGGAAGAATACAAATATAGCACTGTTTAGAGAAAGAAGAGTTGTGATAATGGATATGGATTGCAAGGTCTGGCTCTCAGATCAGATGCTCAGTGGGAGCACTAGTCATAAAATGAAAAATACCCCAAAGAAGAAGTTGTACTTTTCCAAGCAGTACAAAGACAGAAACCTTAGAGTTGAGCTAAGGGATGATTTAATAAGCTCCTAAAGGAACACCACCCTTAGCTGTTCACTACTGGAAAGGGCACTGGACGTGGGAAATGATGTCATAGCACCCATGGAGCTAATGAAAATTCCACTGCTACAGATATGCCCAAGCATCATCCCCTGTTCTATCAGAACTGCCTTCAAGATGAGGACATCCATCTGCAGGACAAGGGGCACAGTCTTCACGCGGGTCCACACGGAAATGTCTGACTTTACTGGCCATGGTGAGACCAAACCAGTCTCTTCCGTACACACATGTACAGTGTAAATAAACACAGGCAGACACACACGCTAGCACACAGGCCTAAGGAAGAAGGAAGTGGCCGTGTGCAATGCACCACACAGAAATATTCTATCCCATTTTCCCTTTAATGACAATGAACATTTACCTTGAACATCTGGATCACACATCGTATGTGCCTGTAAACTCTTGAGGACCTTCTGAATCTCACTCCTGGCCACACAGCTGCTGTTGTACACACTCTCGGGACCCACTTCCTGAGTCCCAGCCTCACTCAGAAACAGCTCCATGTCCTTGCTGATGTCAGGGAGAGGAGTTCGCCAATACAGGACAGTACTGAATACATTATCTGACTTATCTAGATGGCCGCGGACAAGGAAGTCGTCAGTAGGACGGAGTTTGGAGATGGCACTGGCCTCTGGGGAAAGCCTAGTCAGCTCAGCTCCAGCCAAAGCAGGACCTTCCTTTGGGTTTTCTGTTAGGCCATTGGAAGATCTATCATCACGTAGGAAAATATTGATGTCTGCTTGTGTCCCTTCTACACGTGGATCTGGCTCTCTCTGCACAGGACTTGCTGAACTGAGTTAAACAGAAGGAAGCAGACTTTCAGTGCCATGTAATAGCCTGGCGGTAACATGGAAAACCCTGAGACCTGAATTCTCACAAGCCCAGTACTTATCCCCTAACTTGTCACCAGCCCTTCTAGTGACTCCTGGTGTCAGAACATTAAAATCTCACACATAAGAAAGAGATCAAAGCAGTCCCCTTTGCTCCAAGGGCTGTGCAGCATTCATGGGAAATGCTACACAGACGTTCAGCCGACCCTTCACTGAGTTCAAGTGGTAATGTGCCCTGGCTGCTGCAAAAACTTCTTGGTGCCAAGACTTAACCAGCTCACTAGCCAGGAGGAGGTGCCAATTGTGCTTCCACCACAGGCAGGCATTGGGAAATAAAAAGGTGCCCAAATTACTAAGGCCTGGTTATTTGTTGCACATCCCGAAAGTCTTTATGATGAACAAAAGTGATCAAACTGCATGATGAATATTTAGATAAAATGTATATCAGTAAAAGACATTGCCATTAGCCTTCCTTGAAATCCTCCCCCTTCCTTTGGACACACTTGCGTTCACTGTTCTTGCCATTTCCTGAAGAAGCACCGGAAGTCCTCTTATGGAAGCGTCTTTATGAGATATAATAAAAAACACAGCGAATGCTGCTACCACCAAGTGCCATCTGATGCAAAGGCAGGCTTGTACAGACACTGCGGTGTGTTCTCATCTATTTTACTTACATCCCTGCATCTAGCATCATGTAAGACCTGGGCTCTTCCTCGCAGTCAAGATGACCAGAAAACATAGAAGTTTTGAGTCAATTCAGGGTAGTGAGGCAGCCACGACAGCACAACTAACGACATGAAAGAGGACTCCCGGAACTGCTTCAGGAAGTGGCAAGAAAGACAGGTTAAGTATGTTCAAAGCAAGAAGGAGTATTGGCGGGGGGGGGGGTTTAATAGCAACGTGTCTTTTATTGTAATAAATCTTTTTAAAAATTTAAACATTCACTATACTTTTCAATCACCCTGGATGGAATACTTTCCAAACATACCATATATGTGGCAGCTGGGCCTGACATTTAGCGGAGCTCATTGAATTCTCATGGAGGAAGGGTAAAGGGAAGGCCACAGCAGTCTTCAGAGGACCTGTATCTTTATCTGAGGTGTGAACTGGCTGTTCTCACACTCCTGCATAACGCTAACAATGGAGAGACATTTATGAACTACCTCAAGTTGTTTGGTGGGTTCCTCATCCTTAGAAGATATAAAAAACCCAAGATCAACTGCCACACAAAACATTGTAGGGTGTATTAATTATGGTCAGGAATGTTACCTTTATGTGCACAGAACTCCTATTTCACAAAAGAACACAGATCTTTGGGAGAATTCACATTTTTCCCTATGTAAATTATCCAAAGAACTTCATTAATCAAAAAGTAAAAGAAATTTTTCTTTATAGGTTATTTAATCACTACTCTCAATGAATATTTTATCTAAATTTAGAAGATACAGTAGCTTCATTATTTATAACCCAGTAGTCAGGTTTCAAAATCATTATTGCAATTACTTTTTGCTTCTTTACCTAATTAAAGCTCTAATATTCCATCTTGCCCAGAAGGTCACTATTACTAAAATTCCAGACAAGGTAATTGCTAGAATTCTAGGTGGGTACTTGAGCTAAGCAGGAGTCCTGGTGGTGATCTTGGAGGGTGCGTACCTGGTGGGGGAGGTGCTGCTACAAGCGCCGGGGTTAGGGGAGGCAGAGGGAAAGTCAGCCCCCAGATCCCGGCTTGGTGGCTGCATGCTCAGGGTGCCGTCCTCTCGGGTGTACAGGCCAGCCCTGGAGGGGTTTGCAAAGGTGGAAATGAAGGGCCCAAGGGACTGGAAGGCAGCCTGGCGCACCTGAAACCAGAGAGAAAGGACAGTGCAGCGGGGGCCAGGCTGAACCAGGCTGAAACAGCTGTGCCCAGATGCCACCAAATGGGGTCCATACAAATTCACTCCTTCCCAGAACAGTCCCTAAACCCCAATGAAGCTATTTCTCAATAGAAAATAAGCAGAAATTTGGCCCCATTATGCACTTTTCATTCTTTTAGAATATTAACTCCACAACAAATGATAGTTATTAACCATCACAGGCGAGTTTATGGTAACAACACGAAAGCTAACCACTCAGTTACAGCGCTCTTCCCAGTTCTGACCTCTATGACATTCACTTACTGCACATGTTGAGCTATGTACCAGTTCCTCAATATTCACCTCCATGTTTTGCAGATCTTAGATGCCCTAAAATTATTTAGACCTCACAAGATCTAAGTCTAATTATGCCAATCAGCAATTGAAAGGACAAGATGCAAATCCAGACACTGAAGCAAGGCCTGGAAGTTGGACGCAGCTGGAGGTGGATGACGGCAAGGCCCATGTGGTGATGGTGCACCCCTCACTCACCCAACGACAGGGGTCACTGAGGAGCCTGATGAAGAGAGGCGAAAGCTGGGATCTGCGGACCTCTGGGGAGGTGTTGTGGGACACAGCCATGAAGCATTCCGCACAGGCTTTTCGCATACCCCATACACTATCTGAGCAGAGCTCGAAAAACCTGAGGAGCTAGCAAAAAATAAAACAAATAATAGATTAGTCAAATCTGATTACCCTAAGAATGGGTAGAACCTGTCTTAATGTTGCAGTAAAGACAGATCCAGAAAATAAGGACAAAGGCAAATATACAAGTGCTCTAAAAGGAATCATGTGAAACAAAGAGAAAGTGTGGTAAGTAGAAGAAAATAACATTTCCTTCACCTCCTAACTTTAGTTAAGTGACTTGGCTAAATTTAATAAGATAATAGAGAAAACTGCAAAAAAGCAGAATGGCATATTCATCACAGGAAATGGAGATAAATATGGTAAAAGACTGAACTTACCTAGGGGATTTCTCAGCTGTCACTGTCTCTGACTAGGCATTCTACAACTCTGATCAGCTGTTACAAACTGATAGTAATACACATGATTCCTGCCTGCAGAAAGGCGAATTGTGTCCAGTAGAATGCAATTAGTTAGCATCGTAGACATGGACACAGTTTTTACTCTTTTTGTAAGTTCCCTTTGGTATTCCTTGATTTGACTAGAAATATGAGGTACTCCAGTTCATCTTACTGGCTTCCCTCAATTTATAAATGAGTTAAATATAATCTTGGGGTTTTTTGCTTTTTGAGGGTTTGGTTTGAGGGGGTTGTTTTGTTTTGGTTTTGGTGTTTTGAGACAGGGTCTTGCTATGTCATTCAGACTGGTCTTGAACTCAGAGATCCTCTTGCTTCAGTCTCCCAAATGCTGGGATTACAGGCATGTGCCACCATGCCTAGCTGTTAAATGTAATCTTTGAAATATGTTCATTTATATTTACGTGAAGGTCATGATTACATTTTCTTTTAAAATTTATCCTTTAAAATGCTCTGATCTTAATATCCTAATGTAAAGTAGCCTAAAATGTTTCCTAAATGGGAATAGGATATGGTCATAGAAATATCTACCTACACAATTACCATGTTGGCCACTGCTGTTCTTTATTCAGATACATAAATAGAAGATAACACTTTCTTCGAAGCAGCAGATCAATACAAACTATTCTTATGTTAGAACTATGTAGACAAGCCTATACTTCCAACAAAACAAACTACTGAACTTAAATTTTAAAACAATTTAATGTTTATGCTCTCTGCGTTAAATTCCCACCATACAGGTAGGGCGTTCTGTCAAATAATAGTAACAAATGCTTTCTAAGCATTCAGCTGACCTCTAAGTGCCAGGCACCAGGTAAACACTGGAGAAACAAAGATGAACAGGATGGGGCCCTACCCTCAAAATCCCCACGCAAAAAACTTGCAAGGGGCACTCTAAACAAAAGGCCAGGTGTGTAAAGGGGAGAGAGAAACACTCTACAGTAAGTACAGTGGGTAGGGGAGTCTGGACAAGGAGAGAATGGTATAGAGAGGCCTCAAGCTGGGTCCCACCAGATAGGGAAAACACTGCGGAAACAGGGTCAGCAATATGCAGAGGCCCAAACAGCAGGAAACCTCAAGGAGCAGAAAGTCCCCTGGCTAGCTAGTGAGATAGCTTTCTACTGTGTTGGGCATCAGAATTACTTGAGAATTTATCAAATATACAGATGACTGGTCTCTCCCCTTTTCCCTCAGCCTCCCCAGGACCCACATGCCTGGCCAGAGGTGAAACCCACACAGGCCAGGGTAGTATACAGAACTGAGAAAGGTGACTGGAATGAGGCAGCGAAGATATTTATTTGTAAAGAGACCTGACAGGCCAGTGACCTACCAACCAAGAAAAAAAAAAAAAAAATCCCAGTGGTTCTGAGGCCCAAGGGCAACGTGACAGAGTACTAGAATAAGGAGAGGAGACAGATAGTGGCTTAGACAGCGAGAAGAAACAAGGGACGGTGACCTAACTGCAAGGAGGCAATAGCAAATTTTGGAGGAAATTGGCCCCAGGCTGCTTTCATCCCATTCCCCAGACCAGCTGCCTACTGCTTTGGAAAAAGGGTAACGTCACAAGTCAAGAACTTTGATACTGATGAATGCAAAACTGAGTTGCCATTCCAAATAACAGACTCCTAAGTACAAAACCTTACACCGATTCAGGAAGCACACTAAGAAGTAAATCAGCAATTATGATTAAAAAAACTTCACATACCAAAAATTTCTCAGTGGCTTCTTGTCCAACAGCATGACAAACATCACCAAAATTTGTAGCACACACCTTAAGAATGCAAAAGACATACTCATTATTCTTATCTCTCTTTTTTCTTTTAACAAATTGTAAAACTAACAAGAAGGAACCTGGAGAGCAATTATGCCTCTAGTCAGGCAGATAACAAGCCCTTAGCAAGCCCAGCACCCACAAAGCACCATGCTAGGTCTCTGCTGCATCAAAAACAGAAGATTTGCAAGGTGCTCAATTTCAGGATTTTTCTGCCTCTTAAATGATCTTGATACATAATGCATTTGGTTAGCAACAGGGAATAAAGAGCGCTGTTAGAGTCTCTGCCTGGTGGGTGAGGCCATTGTCCTGCCCACGAACCGCCCACGAACCACCCATGCAGAGCAGCCACAGGAGCAAGGCCTGCAGGCAGCAAGGTGGAGGCTGAGGTTATTAAGCGAAGGACAGCAACAGCCTCCACAGGAAGAATCTGACAATGGAAGTGTCAAGCAACTAACAGAGAAGCCCGGCTGGGGTTGGAAGTTACAGCCAAGACAGAGGGTTCTGACACAAATCACCCCAGGAAATCAAAGACCTTGTAGGTCTGGTTAACATGTAACCATCAGCTGGCCAGATCCCGTACCTCTCACCTCTCACCCAAGAGCAACTAATCTGCTCACAAAGATTCTTATGCCTTGGTCTCTCAGTATTTCCTAATTGCAATAAAAACTAGAACATGGTTCAAATATCTTCCTTACAGCTTTGTGATGGCCACATTTTCCTCCAGACTGTCTACTGAAGAAGTAAACAGTTCTTTAGAGGAACTGATTTTGAATATTTTAACTTAAAGAGTTTTGAATCTCTTGTGGTTCCCACCTTCCGAACTTGAAAGAGCTTCCTGTCACCACACAGTTCACAGAACCGAGGGAGTAGCAGGCGTTCAACTGTGCTCTTACTCAGCATTGAAGCCACTTTGCAGATGATCTGTAAATAACAAGAAAATTAGTCATTTGAAATACCAAAGGGTCCAGGCCACATGCATCACTAACAAGATGAGCATAATGTGAAACACAACGAATCGCCACAAGAAACAGAAGATAACAGAATGTTTTTTTAAAACATGCTAAAGGAAGAAAAACCACATTTGTCAACCTCAATTCTCTATCAAGCACAACTATAACTCAAAAATGAAGGTAAACTAAAGACACTGTTAGGTAAACCAAAACAGAGATTTCATAATCCATTGGCCTAAACTATACAAAGTACTAAAAAGTAAGTTAGGAAGGGAAATGACACCAGATGACAACTCAGTTCTAGGAAAAGAAGGAATGACAATCCTCAAAAATGGTAAAAATTAAAGTATAAAAGGTTGTATTTTTTTCTTTTATTAACTTCTTCAAAAGAAATTTATAACAACGTGTATGAAAACAACACCACCAAGGACAGAAGTGAGTGAAGTGAGATTGTTATGAGCCCCTGCAGCGCTCACCCCCACTTCAGTACTGGGGACTGAACCCAGGCTGCACCACTGAGCTACACCCCCAGCCCTTTTTTATTTCTTATTTTGAGACAGGGCCTCCCTCAGCCACTAAGATGACCACACTGGGCTCAAACTTGGGATCCTCCTGCTCAGCTCCCTGAGTGCTGGGACTACTGGCGTGAACCACTACACCAGCTACATTGCTAAATTGAGAAATTAAGACACAATCTTTAAAAAATATTCAATTAACCCAACAGAAAGAAGGAAAAGAATAACAGAGAAACAAAAACTGATGAGAAAAATAGAAAATAAATAGCAAAATGGCAGAAATAAATCCAAACACATTAATAATCATATGAAGATAAATGGACTGAATATTCCACTTAAAAAGCAGAAACTATCAGCCTAGATACAAAAACAAGACTCAACTATATGCTAATGAAAGGAGAAACACTCTGCTTAGAAATACAGGGTGAAGATAAAAGAATATAAGCAAATACCATAAACACTAATAAGTCTAAGAATGTTGGGGTTGTTACATTAATATCACAGTAGACAGATGATTACTACCAGATATACTGCTTAATGATAAAGGGGTTAATATATCACAAAAATGTAAACATTAAACATATATCTTTACATACTTAAAATAAAAAGGTAGGCTTGAAAATACTGTTTCCCCTTTATAAAGCTAGAAAAATGCAACGAAACTGAGCTGAAGAAAAGTAAAAGACAATAAATAAATAAATAAGTAAATGAATGGTAGAAATATATGACAAAGAAAACAAACAAGAACATCACTCCTTTTCAACATATGTGAAAGATCAACAAGATCAATTAGACAAGAAATATAAGAGGGATGTGCAATGGAAAAGGAGTCAAATTATCATTATTTGCAGATGGTACGATCCTCTATATAGAAAAATTCACCAAAACCCACCAAAAGATTCTTAGAATTAATAACCAAATTTAGTAATATAGCAGGAAACAAAATCAACACAAAAATCCATAGTGTTCCTGTACACTAATAACCCACTAAGAAAAGAAATTAGGGAAAAAACATTATTTACAATAGCACAAAGGAAAATTAAATACTTAAGAATTAGCCTAAGGAAGCAAAAGGCCTGTATAACAAAAACTATAGTACTCTGAAAAAAAAAATTGAAGGGAACATCAGGAAACAGACAGACATCCCGTTTCTAGATAGGCAGAACCAATACAGTCAAAATGGTCATATTTCCAAAATTGGTATACAGATTTAACATAATCCCAACCAAAATTCAAACAGCACTCATCACTGAACCAAGAAAAGAATCCTAAAATTGATATGGAACCAAGAGACCCAGAATAGTGAAAGTATCCTGAAAGCATCACAATTCTGGACTTTAGCTGTGATTTGACAACCTACACCATGGGAAAAAAATTTTATCAGCTGTTCCTCAGACAAAAGTCTACTATCTAGAATACATAAAGAACTTGAAAAAATCAGACCCCCCCCCCAAAATTTAAAGACCCAATTAAAAAATGGGCATCTGAAATAAACAGACATTTCTCAGACAAACAAGTAAAAGCCGCAAATAAACATACAAAAAAAAGTTCAACATCACTGGTCATTCGAGAGACTCAGATGAAAATAACACTGAGATTTCACCTCACCCCAGAAAGAATGGCTGCTATCAAGAAATCAACCAATAAGAAATGCTGGCAGGGTTGTGGGGAGAAAGGAACCCTTCTCCACTTTTGGTAGGAGTGCAGACTGGTGCAACCACCGTGGAAATCAATATGGAAATACCTCAAACAACTAGGATTTTAAGTCCCATTTGACCCAGATATCCCTCTTGCTGGGTATCTTCCCAAAAGAATTAGAAGAATCATACCACAGTGACCTGTGCACACCCATTTTTATAGCAGCACAATTTGTAATAGCTTAAACTTGGAAACAACCCAATTGCCCATCAGCTGGAGACTGGATAAAGATGTGTTTCTTTTTTATAAATATATAAAATGGAGCACCATTCAGCCATAAAGAATGAGAAACTAGAGTCATTTACAGCTATATGGATGCACATTGAGGCCACACTCCTAAGTGAAATAAACAGGACACAGAGGTGTAAATACCGAATAGTTTATCTGGTGTGAGAAACTAAAAGCACAAATAAGGATCAAAATGTATAATAGATAATGTGAAACGAGAAGAAAAAGGTCTAAAGGGGAAGAGGAAGTGGGAGGGGAAGTGGGAGGCGTAGGGGAAAGGAAAAAGTATGAGAAAAGGAAATAATGGAAACAAAGTCTTTGTAAATAGGGAGAGGCAGAGGAGTTGAAGGGAGGGCAGGGGAATGAGGAAAAAATAAGAACCAAGATATATCATGTAAAGGTACAAATTCCCAATGACGATGTCATCATACTACATACCTAAAATGTACCAATAAGCTTAGTGAATAAAAATAAATAAATAAAAATTTAAAAGCTACTATGATTAAAAAAAAAAAATCATGGTACTGGCACATGAAAGCTAGTGAAACCGGCCAGAGGATACAGAAACAACCAACAGAGTGAAAAGACAACCTACAGAATGGGAAAGAAATTCGACAGCAATCTCTAAGAAATTGCTTATATCTAGAATATATAAAGAATGCAAAAAAATTAAGACTCCTCCAAAATAAAAGACCCAATCAAAAAAATGGAGAAAATAGACACTTCACAGATGTAGTACAAATGGCCAATAAATACATGAAGAAATGCTCAACATCATTGTCTATTAGATAAATGCACATTAAAACAACACTGAGATCCCACCTTACCCCAGAAAAAGTGGCCACCACCAAGAGATCAAATAATAACAAATGCTGGACAGGCTGCAGGTGAAAAGGAACCTTCTACATAGTTGGTGGGAATGTGAACTGGTACAACCACTACAGAAATCAGTATGGAGATTCCTCAGAAAGCTAAAACTAGAAATTCCATTTGACCCAGCTATTCCCCTTCTAGGTATCTTTCCGAAAGACTTAAAGAGATCCTATGATAATGATGTATGCACACCCATGTTTATACAGAACTCATAAGAGCTAAATCTTGGAAGCAGCCTATATGTCCATCAACAGATGAATGGATAAAGAAAATGTGGTAATGATACACAATGAATTCTACTCTGCCATAAAGAAAGACAAACTCAAATCATTTGGAGGAAAATTAATGTACCTTGAGACCATAATTTAGTTAAGTGAAATAAATCAGATGCACAAGCTTAAATATCACATGGTTTCTCCTACACAAGAAACCCAGAGTAAAAGTAAAGAGCAAAATGGAAGATAATAGGAAGTAGGGAGATAGACCATTCTCAAAGGTGAAGAAGATCAAGAAATGGAGGGAGAGGAGACGGAAAGCAGGGATAAGGGATGACAAAAAGGAATCTGAATGTCTTATGTACATGTATCAATGCCACACAAGGAATGTAGTAAACACTGTGTACTGTAGACATGTACACAAACACAAAAAGGAAAGGATCAAGAGATGGGTGGAAGGGGGAGGGTGGGAATGGAAAAAGGATGAAAAAAGAAATTAAGACGTGTTATGAACACATGCCAACTTCCCACAAGGAATGCAAACATTATACACTACACACAAACTAAAATATAATAAAAAAGATTTCAATCCTTAAAAAAAAGCAACAGAGAAATTCAATGAAGCCAAAAATTGTTTTGAAAACATAAATAAAATTGATAAATCTCTAACAAGACCATTTAAGAAAAAACAGAGAAAACACAAATTACCAATTTCATAAATAAAAGTGCTAACACTACAAATCTTATAGGCATTAAAAGGCCTATTAAGAGGATAATAAGGAACTATTTTGAACAACTGTAACCCAATAAATTTGACAATCTAGATGAAAGTAATTATTTCTCTAAAATATCCAACTTATCCAATGACACAGATGACAGTACAAAAATGAAGCCCTACGTTTAAAGTGGTTCAAAAAACCATCTCACTAGAATCAGTGAGATTTACTGTGAATTAAATATTTAGTAAGAGGAAAAATAACTCCAATCTTAAACAAAATCTTTTAAAAAGTAGATTGGGATAGAATACTTCTCAAGTTATTTTTTGAGGCCAGAATAACAATGATGCTAAGGGCTGGGGATTTAGCTCAATGGCACCACACTTGCCTCGCAAGCGCAAGGTCCTGAGTGAGATTCCCCAGTATCGTGAAAAAAAAAAGGATGCTAAAACCTGACAAATATACAACAGAAAACGAAAATTGCCTACCACAGGCCTCCTGAATATAGGCTTGAAAACCTTCCATAAACTGTTAGCAAATAATGGAGATAGGAACTCTTCCCAGTAGAATGCCAAATGGAATCACCAATAGGCAATATCCCTTAGGGTGGAAGTTTGATGAGGAAAAATATACTCACAGTTTTAAGTAACCTTCCTTAACACTCTCAGATAGCACATTGGAGTATGTGGCAGATACCACTTCTAGTTACCAAGTTATCGAGTCTGT